TTTCTGTCTCTCTGTCTCTCTCTCTCTGTCTGGCGAGCGCACGCACCCTATAGCGAAAACCTCTCAAAAAAAAAAAAAAAAAGAAGAAGAAGAAGAAAGTGGGTGTGAAGTGTATAAGAATTTACACTATCTTTTCAATACATCTAAAATTATTTCAGAGTAGGGAGGACCTTCACTGACCATCAGTGGAAGTAACTAGGACACTTTCTCCTTACTCTGAAACTTGTCCATTAGAAGGAAATAAACAGAGCCAGTCAGTGGTGTGGGGGCTAAGGAGGCTGGATCCCACATGACTGATTGTGAGGTTCGAGTCCCAGACCTGACGGCTTGAAAAATACACTGGTACATGTGCATACATGCCCAAAATCCCAAAGGAGAATGGAGGAGAAGGGATTGCAGTGTGGTCATTCCTCCTAGAGAGTGTTTTCTCCTCTCCCTCTCCCCAGGTCTCTCTGTCGCTCCAGCAAGCATGTGTGCCCTCTAGCCAAAATAAGAAAAGAAAAAGAAGCCAGTCTCAGAAGACCACAGGTTATGTAATTCCATTTATATGAAATGCCAGAATAGGCAAATCCATAAAGCCAGGAAAATCAGTGGCTGTGAGGAGCTGAGACAGGATCAGGGAGTGTCTATTAATGGTCTTGGAGAGGTTTTTGCTATACGGTGCGTGCACGCATCAGAAAGACAGAGAGAGGCAGGGAGACAGAAAGTGAGAAATCACCCCCCAGGGGGGATGGCCACGCCACAATCCCTTCTCCTCCAGTCTCCTCATGGTATCTTGGGCACGCATGCACACGCACCTGGCACGAGTTTAAGCCACTGGGTCCGGGACTTGAACCACTGTTGACTACATGAGAGTCCAGGGACATAGCCATTACACCAACTGCTGTGGGGATGGTTGTACACCTCTACAAGTATACTAAATATACAAGTGTACTAAATATACAAGTATACTAAATATGCAAGTATGCTAAATATGCAAGCATGCTAAATATGCAAGTATGCAAAATATGCAAGTATGCGAAATATGCAAGCATACTAAATATGCAAGCATGCCAAATATGCAAGCATGCTAAATGTATAAGTATGCTAAATATGCAAGCATACCAAATATGCAAGCATACTAAATATGCAAGCATACTAAATATACAAGTATACTAAATATACATGTGCTAAATATGCAAGTACACTAAATATGCAAGCACACGAAACATGCAAGTATACTAAATATATAAGTATACTAAATATACATGTGCTAAATATGCAAGTACACTAAATATGCAAGCACACTAAACATGCAAGTATACTAAATATGCAAGCACACTAAACATGCAAGTATACTAAATATGCAAGCATAGTAAATATGCAAGCATACTAAATAAGTGAGTATACTAAACACGCGAGTATACTAAACATGCAAGTATACTAAATATACTAAATATACGAATATACTAAAAACCACTGAGTGGTACACTTAACAGGGTACACACTGAATGATATCTGAATTCTCTCTCAACAAAGGTGTTATGTTTAAAAAAAGGAAATGAGGGAACCAGCAGTTAGCATAATGGCTATGTCGCTGGACTCCCATGTAGTTGACCGCGGTTCGCGTCCCAGACCCAGTGGCTTAGAACTCACGCTGGGCGCATGTGTGTTCGTGCCCAAGATCCCGGGAGGAGAATGGAGGAGAAGGGATTGCGGCGTGACCATCCCCTCTGGGGGGGGTGATTTCTCGCTTTCTGTCTCTCTCTCTCTGTCTTGTCTGGTGAGCACACGCGCCCTACAGCAAAAACCTCTCAAAAAAAAAAAAAAAGGAAATGAGCTCCATTCTGCCTTTCTCCAGTGAACTACATTTCCATATAGCCTTAGTCGATGGGGGAATTCTTGCTGACAGAATCCCAGTGAAGAAGCATAGAAGGAATGATGGAATCAGAAACGCGCC